ATTCTTCTAGGATTTAAAACAAAATAAAATCAACTTTGCTTAACACTTGTTTAAATAAAATATCCCTTGAGAAACAAGTTTTGTTCAATTTAAAATTTAGGGTCATTATATCTTTATCATTTAACTTTTATTTATAACACAATTAATAAATGCATGTTATTGCACAAAATCTTTTCATTTTCCCACTTTATAAGTTCTAAATCATACAAGCATAAAATATAACATATTTAAATTCACAACAACTTGTAAGTAATTAAACAAGTTAATAAATATTATAAATTATCTAATTATTTCAATCTTTTATGTACACAAGAGTTACCCATGGTACTTATTATTCTTTACAATTTCCATTGTTGAATATACACTTGAGCTGTAACAATCCAAGTATTCTAGTGAGAATTAAAATTTATGATAAGGTATTTTAAAAGTATTTTTTTTTTTTTATAAATTTGGGGAACATAGATTGGTGGCTAAGTGGAAATCTTGCTAAATATCCTTCAGTTCTTGGTTTGAATCCTCTTTTTGTTTAAGTGGAATATTTTATTTTGCCTTGTCACACGAAATTACTGAAATAGCCTTCTTTAGGGGGGAAAAACAAAGAGGAGAAAGAGGAGACAAATAGGAATCAGACTAACGCATCAACTGTTCCTTTTATCCTCTCCCATTTTCAAATGCTGTAGAAGAGGGAGAAAGAATGCTCCATTCAAACTTTCCATTCTTGCTTCTTCCTCCTCCGTTATTCAGGTCGCTGTCGAGGGTACAACAACTCATCTACGCATTCGCTGTTGCCGCGGGTACGTCACTGCTGGATTCTTCTCCTTCTCTGTTTTGCTCTGCATCCACATAACCTTCTTTTCCTCTCTTGATCTGTTGTTGATCTGGTTCGATGAAGCTTTAAACATAAAACCCTCCTCTACCTTCTCTTTCTCTTCCATAGTTCCATTGCTGATGAGAGTGAGTAGGTGAGCGAGAGATTTTCATGCGGTCATTGCTGGGAGTCACTAGAATCTTCTCCCACTGTGAGGCATCGCTGAAACCTTCCCCTTCCATGGACACATCGTCCTTGTGCCGGTGTGACAGAGCTCGTTCTTTCTTCTCCCTCCTCGTCTATTTGCACTATTGCCATAGGTGTCACCGGATTCTCTTCTCCCTTGGTGTGTTGTTTGGGTAAGCCTAAACCTTAGATTCTTTTTATTGCATCTGTGGGTGGTTGATTAAGGGGATTTAAAATTTTTTTCCTTGCGTGCTGTGATGACAAGGAATGGATGTTAAAGTTTCTATTGTTTGTGCTTATGGGATTTTAAATAGGTAAGGAATTTTGGGAAAAGAAGCTATTATTATAGTGTCCAAGAAGAAGATGTTGAATGTGCAATTTTTACTTGGTTATATTTTCCAAAAAGCATGCACTAACTTATGTGATGCTTATTTGTGAATTTAGACTAGATGTTGTGAAGAAATTAAACAAAGAAGTTATTTTGAGACTAGCTAGATTTTTGGGAGTTAGATAGTGACAATTTGTAAAATATGGTGTTGTTTCATGATTAAACTTTGTGATACACATGAGAGGTATTTAATAAAATGTTTGATAGAAGAATTTTAATCTCTAATAGTAAATAAATCTTGTAAAGGTATTGTTGTTGATTAAATTATTATTAATGGCAATTTTTCTTTACAATGAAGGTTGGAATGGAATTAGAGAATTTTGGAAAACTGTGTGTGTGTGTGTGTGAAATCTTGATAAATTAGTTGAGTTTAAATTTTGGGTGGATATAGTGTACAAAAGAAATAACAATGGTGTCACTTTGGGCATCAGGGAATCAAGGCTCAAACAATATTTAAAAAATGACTAATTAGAAATAATTTATATAATTGAAAATGTTTCAAGCAAGTGAACAACGTTTCAAATGATCTATTAATAAATTTATTTCCTTCAAAATAATGTTTATTCATATTTATGACCATTTTATCATCATAGATTAACTTCATTATTTTTTTATTATGAAGAAGGATGCTTTTAATATACTAAGTTTTGAAAAAAGAATTAAAATTATTTTATGATTGGATATCTATCATTATTTATTATTATAATAACCCTAAAAAATTAAAAATTAATTAATATATAAATTTGAATTTTAATAATAATTATGTTAATTCTTGGGACAAGAAATAGATCTGATGTAGTGGTAGCTGAACGTGTATTCTTCCATCAGGTTCCAAGTTTGAATCTCCACCTTAGGAAGACGTTGATCGGCTTCTACTGCTCTCCCCTATTTCTGCATCGTTCTCCCTTATTCTGTTATCTCTGAAATCGTGCAAGCACTTCAAGCTTCCTCGTCGTTTTTCGTTCGCCGATTGTGACTGTCGCCGGCGGGTTCACTGCAGCTCTGTTCGTTATTGGTGCGTCAGATTTGTGGCTTATGTTTCTTTTCTCTTTCTCTGTTTCAGATCGACGAGGTTGTTCTTCTTCGTTGCCGTCGTGATTATTTGGGTGAGTTAGATGGATTGTTTCCTTTACTTCTTTTATCAGTCATCAATCTGCTCACCTTTTTGTGCTCGACAGCAACCTCTGTTCCCTTCCTTGTCTACACGCAATTTCTTCTTCCTTCCCCTGTTCATGGGTGTTGGTTCATCTAAGTTAGAAGCTTCGATCTCTCCTACTTCTCTTCATATAATCTGTGTGTGTGAGTGGTTGGAATGATATTGTTGAGATTATAAATTTCTCTTTGATGCTTTTGCTGCCCGTGTTGATTGTGGAAAGGAAAGAAATTCAAATTGAGCTGGAAAATCCATCTTGAGGCTTAATAGTGATATATATAGCTAAATTGATTTTTATTAGATTGGTTGATCTTGAGCAATTGTTAGAGTGAATTTAAAAGAGAAGAGCTTAAGTGTAAAATTTAAAATTAGTGCCTATAATATGTTTGTTACAATGCTTGTTAGAGAAATTAAACTTGATTTTTTGAATATTTTAAACTTTTATTGGTTCTTGGGAATAGTATGGTTATTGGTAAATTGTTGGATGTTTAAATTGAATGGGTAGAAATAATGCACTAAGGTAGTACAAAGCCTGAGAGAAAATTTTATTTCAAAAAAATACATTGGCATGATTAAAACAAATTGGAGGAAACTAGTAATGTAAATGATAACACTCAAGCCACCTCTAAAGACATGAATTTTGGTTTTGGAGTTTTAAATGATGGTGATTGGTTGAGATTGTGTAATAAATTAAAAATTTATTAAAATTGTATTTATTTATATCCTTTAGGGTGTGTAGAAGAAGATGACCTTGATAAAAATTAAAGAAAGAATATCTTTGGGGAATTTGAAATTTTAACGAATAAGTGAATAGCATTCCGTTTAATTATTCATTAATAGTCTTTTATTGAAATATTTTATTTTTATAAAATGTATTACTAATATTGATGAAAGTATCTTTGTTTATTGAACTTTAGAATTTCTTGGTTACACAATTAATACAAGATTGCACATTAGCTCTTAAGTATTAATTTGGCAAGTTTAGATATTTGAAACAGTTCATGCGAGTTTGATATTAAAAATGAAAATTTATTTTAGAAATAATTATTGCTCTCGCATGTTTGAAACGTGATTTCTAAGAGGACTTTATACAGAACAATGGTTGCTAACAATAGGTTTGTTAGTCCTCAGCACCTTGGTTAGCATTACCTTTGTGAATTGTGTGTCCACATTTGTTTTCATAACTCAGGCTGCTTTTGGTTACTTATCCTTGTGGACTGTATGTCCACATTTGTTTCTGTGGCATAAGCCGCATTTGGTTATTTACTCTCATAAACTATATGTCCACATTTATTACTTATTCTGTTAAGTCCTCAAAAAATATAAATTTTGATTAACTTGCTCATTTGAAATTCCAATGGTTTCAATTAACAAATATACTATTTTGATTTGTGTACGGGTAATTCATTTTCTTTAAACAAGATAGAATAAAGTGTTTCCAATTCAGTCTGATTTTATGGTTATGATTGAGTTATAGATTTATGAAATTATTATGTTGAATTATCATTTTTTCAATTATTTTGCATGATTATTTGGGTTTATTATTTTAATTCTTTTAAATTTTGTTTTGGGAATGCTACTCAATGAAAAATTTATTTTGGTCTTATATTCATTAATTGATGTTGATTCTACTGCCGACCTCTAAAGAACAATACAGTTATACTGGTGAAAATTTTGTTTGGTATCGTTACCTTTTTTATGTAAATATTTAAGTCTTATATATTTTATTTTAGAAGAAAGATTGGTTGTTCCACATAGATTGTTGTTAGAGCTTTATTTTAATTTATATACTATTTGTTGGCTGGAAAAAGCTGAGCTCCTGATTTAGTTAATGTTTTGACTAAATCAGTGTATTGTAAAAATTTTAAGAGATTCTATTTATAAGAGAGGTTCTGCCGAAATTTTTAGAGAAATATTGAAACCTTGTTATGACATTTAATATCAAAAGTATTAGAATTTCTATATAATTTGATTTTTTTTAGAAAATGAAATGAATTTTCATTTTGAAGTTTACAAGAATGTGTGAAGTGATTCGCTACCGTGTTAGTCACCCTCTGTGTTTCGAGGCATGACAATTATATTGAAAAGTGCTTGATTTATTGGTTAAAGAATGATTTATTGTTATAAACCATGCATGCTTGACTTAAAATGTGGGATTAAATCTGTCACACCCTAAAAATTAAACGTGACCAGCACAGGATATATATACACATATACATCCTTAAGCCTTGATCAAGAAAAATTTAATTAGTATTTTAATTCATTTAAAATATGATGGAAAATAATTGTGATATTTTCATATAAACAAAAGATTCATAAACTTTTATAAAAGCTTCGTCAAAATCTCCCCTTTAAATAGGATCTCTTGAAGTCTCTACAACAACAATATACAATCCAAATCAGAAATGCAGAGCTCTGCTCCTCCATAATAAACAGACAAATAGATTACAAATTAGAATCCTATCTATAGTTAACGTGAAACATACCAAATCATAATTTCAAAATATAACACCAAATTAAACATTTACATCAAAATGAAGGTATTTTTAAAAAGTCTTCTCATCAATTCAATAATGAGCCCCTCAGAGTTCAACAGGAGGTAAATCATCGACTATGCCATCTAAGATCAAAAATATTTTCAATGAATAACTTTCCAACAATAAATAATTGAATATGAATAAAAGGGAAGTTTAAAACAATTATGCAAGTTAAAGAAATAATGATTTTCATAAAAAAAATTAATAAATTTCAAAATAAAAGAGATTCTGTATAACTTTAAATAAAATCTCAAACCATTTAATTTTTATATCAAATATTATTATTACTTGATTTCAAAGAAGAAAATAAAATAAATAAATAAATATTAAATAAATTACTAGTTAAAACCAATGAGATATAAAATCACCAAGTAATCAAATTCATATTCATAGGGACTTATCAGAATAATTAACAAACGTGAACACACAGTCTACGAAGGTAAATAATCACGAAGACAAATATAGACACACAGTCCATAAGGGTAAATAACTAAATGCAGCCTGAGTTATGAAATAAACATGGATACACTATCCACAAGGATAATACTAATCAAACGCAGCTTGAAACCATGAAATCAAATGTAGGTGCTAGACTCACAAATAACAGACGTGAGAACAGAGCTCACAAAAATTAAACTAGCTAGTCATTAACCATAGCGCGCCAAGGGCTAATAGAACTGCTGTTAGCAACCAGTGTTCTGTATAAAGTTTCTTTCAAATCCAATTTCAAACATGCAAGAAAATAATCAATATTAAAATAACTTTTTCATTTTTAATGTCAAACTCACATGAATCATTCTCTGTATCATTTCAATATTTTTTAGAATAAAATTTCATAATTAAAATCCAAACTAGCATTTATTAATTAACTAAAGTTACCAAAGCTAATAAAATGAATTCATTAATTTGAAAATATATTTTATGGAAAACAAACATTCATATGCCACAATTTAAATGTACTTCACCACCACCTTATAATTTTAAACTAAAATAATTTAATTAACAAAATATTCAAAACTCGGCATAATTGTTATTAAAAATAATTTACATAAAAACATAATATTTCACCAAAAATAATCTTATTGATAAATCAATTAGGATGCTATCCACTTATCTGATAGATTCTCAAAGATATAAATTACTCCAAGTCAATTGCTTACATAACATGGCTGCTTCTTAATTTCCTAATACCCAATGTAACACCATTGTTATTTTATATTCCCTTTAACTAAGTATAAACCCAAACTCTTTAAATTACTTGAGGTTAGTATTCATCAACCTAAAGGACACATCCCATCCCAAGTCTATGTCACATTAAAAAAAAAATATTAATATAAATTTTTGACAAATAGAATAAAATATTAAATTTATACTATATTTCAAATGATAATCCATCGAGCACACATAACAAAATTCTCAACCTTATGTTTTACATACAATATATCATGGCGAATTTAATCCATACATCTCCAAGAATATCTAATCAATATCTACAAATTTTAAGTCTCAAAGTAGAAAATAAATAACTTCTATACAAGTAACTTTTCAAATAAAAATCATAAAACCCTAATGTAAGAGTCATTAACTAAAGGTAGTTCTCTTCATGAACTCGATGCTCCTCTCATGCTAGAGATAGGGAGACTATGAAACTATCAAGAATTTAAGATTCCATGTTACCATAATTTACACATCATAGTTTCACTATATAACTTTAGCCATAGTTAATTATCCAAATAGGATAGGATTTTCTCTTAGGCTTTTTAGCAAACGCCTTCAATGCATCACTTTACAATCACTAACACAAAGTTCCTAACCTTCAAATCTCTTACTCAAAAATTTTCAAACATCAATATTTAGATTTATCAGATTTTCTCAACCACAAATCCCATCAGGAATCAAATTTTAAGACTAAAGAAAACCAACTCCAATTCTTCCTCTCACAGTAACTAATGCACAAAAGCAAAATTACATACCAACACATGCTCGGCTCATGTTTCAGCTTGATTAAACCCCCTCTACTCTTCCATTTCAGCATCCACTCACATCAGCTATAGTAGAAGTAAGGAAGAGGAGAAGCTATCCGTGTGAACATGGAGGAGATGCTGAATAAGGAAGAACAGGGGAAGAAGGTATGAGCACAACGCACAAAAAAAGGAAGAAGAATAGAGTAAAAAAACATCAGACTGAGAAGCACAAAGACTCACGAGAGCACCCCCAATCCCTGACTTGGCTTCCCCACACACCACCGACGTACACAAGAGTAAAAGAGACAGAACAGCGGACAGAGCGTCGACCTTGCAATGGCAACTGGAACCACTCCACAGTCATTGGCGACAAGGTAGGCGACGGAAAGCACGGTGGAGAAGTGAACGACAGGAATTGCTCATCAGTGCTCTCTCACTCAATCTGTCTCTCACTCTCGATTCTTCTAATGCTGTAGGTCAAAGAGAGGAAGAACTGTGTGCGTGCCATTTCATATCTGATTCTTTCTTTTTGTTTTTTTAGGGCAAATTGGTAATTTCTTACAAATGTAATAAACATAATAATATATATTTGACACCACCAGGATTCGATGACGGGACCTATAATAGCCACAAATTGTAATTATCATTAAACTAGCCATTCATCTTGTTAAATTGCTCCAAAATTTAATAAAAATATTTATCTAATTATAGTTTTTAATGTACTGTTATTTTTTTTTGAGTTATTATAAAATCAAAATGTTGATTGCTAATAACAGTTCTATTAACCCTTGACATGTCATGATACATCTAATTAGTAAGGTATTTGTAGGATGTGCTAGCCTCATACGCAGGCTAATGCACATGGAAAAGAGGGATGAATATTTATGAGTATATACTGATACTTGTATAGTGGTTTCTGCTGCATTTGTTTGTGGCTTATGCCACACTTGACTAGTTACTTACCCTCGTGAACTGTATGCCCCTACTTGTTTGTTATTTACTCTTATAGACTGTATGTACATGCCTGTTATCTATTTTGATAAAGTCCTGTTAAAGAATATTTGAAATTTCTTATTTTGAATTAATCTTACTAAACAAGTTGATTTTATGAATTGATTTTTTTATGATGAGATGTGCATTTCCTAAATAGTTGATACAAGCTTGAGAGTTATGAAGTGGAATTTGACTGTTGTGTTATAATCATATGAGGATGTTTTTGAATTAAATGCTTAAATAAAATTATTTAATTTGAATTATGCACTCCTACTATTCTAAATGACTATTTTAGTTAAATTCATGTTCATTCTATTTATATTTTTTATTTCTTTTAATTTTAATTTGGGACATCATTCACTGAAAAAATATATTTTTGGTCTCAGATAAAATAGTTGAACTAATACCTCAAGGTGTCCCTTAAGGAGTTTTATTGTTCAATTGAAGCGAAAGAATTTTTTAAACAAATCCTAATTTTATGAAAATTTAAACTTTGTACTTATGTTAGAGTCTGACCTTAGGCGCTCCACGTAGATTATAGGAAGGACCCTCATAATTTAATATTGTAAAACAAAAATCTAATCATCCTATTAATGTTTTCAAAGTATTAGCTTAGGAGTTTCTTTAGTTAAGGCTTAAGAGATGTGAGTTTTGTACCCATATTCCATGTCGATCACACTTATTTTTCGGGTGTGACATGAGCTACTTTAATATACAAGATGAAGTATTATATGTCAATTTTCCAATCTAACATAAGTACTAAGCAGCACAACCAAGTTAACCTAAACTTCTAACTCTTATCATTGGACAATTTTAAGTCCTAATCAACATCTACAAGCTTCCTACAACTTCCACTCACTCTATTAACATCAATATAGGGTTTTCACAATTTTAACCTTTCATTTGAGGCTAAAATTCAACCAAATCCCCAAAACTCCCTTTATCAAACCAATCTAATTATAAACCCTTATTTTAACTTTCAATAATACTATACCAGTCATTGGCCTAAATAACAACCCTTCACAAACTCAGAATTCAATTTTACCAGTGATAACCCAAGAATTTTAAGTAGAAGTTAAATGTATAAGTTTATATTTTAATAATAATTATATTAACTCTTAGAATAAATATGACGAGAAAGAAGGCTAATGTAGTGGAAGCTGAATACGTATTCTCTCTAGGTCACGTGTTCGAATTTGATCAAGACCAGGAAATCTTCTTGTTTATAAAATTACTAAATTACCCCTTTCCAAATTTGATGAAAGTTTCATTCTCTTCTTCGGCCATTCCAGAAAAACGGAGAGAGAGAGGATGAGAAGCTGACTAAGTCACCATTTTCTCTACATCTTCGACCCTCTTCTCATTCTAGTGATCGCCGACTCATCTCCCCTTCGTGTTTCTGGTGGTGGCTGGTGAGGTTGAAGCTTGTAGTTGTTCTGGTTTGTTCCCTCCGTGTTTTATGTCTCTGTTTTTCCTCTTCATCTTCTGCTCTGTCTTTGTTTGTGCCGTTGCGCTCGAGTTGCTGCTGGTGGTGCTGTCACGAGTTTGGTCTGTTGCTGCTGATACGATTTTCTCCTTGCTGGCGTGCTGTATTCTGGTCTTCCCCTCCCTGTTTAGTGGCCTATTTCATTTTCTTCCTCTTTGTTTGTGCGGTGGAGAGTCTTGTGGTTACCTGAGCGTGAGCTTCTCTTCTCCATTTTCCATCGGTATTCCTTATCTCCTATTTTGTTCTTCCAAGATGGACGTTCATATTTCCTCTGTTAGTGCTGTAGGTTTTCTTTCCTTTCTTCTCTCAGTTTGGCGACACAGGAGCTGCTTCATTGTGCTCCTTTTTCTGTTCCATTTCACTGGGTCGAGGTGAGGAGATTCAAACCTTTTCATTGTCGGTTCTGTTGTGAGGGTGAACGTGTTCTATTATGGCTGCGCGTGAGAGATGCAAAATTTTTTTGTTCTGGTTCTGCTACTGTCGTGTGGTGTGATGAAATATATATATATATATATATATATGTATATATAAAACAAATAAAGTTAAATGAGCTTGACATCCATTTAAAATTTGGTAATGATATATGTATGCATATGTTTAAGGCTTAGTTAAATTTATTGTTGGACTAGTTGATCTTAAGAATTTGATTAGCATGAAGTCAAAAGATAAGAGTTTAGGTATGAAATTTGTAAGATGTTTGCCAAAATACTTGTTAGAAGAATTAAATTTGATTTTTAATATTTTGAAGTTTCATTGGTTTTTGAGATTTGCATGGTTAATGGTAAATTGCTAGATATTTCAATTCAATGGTTAGAGTGGCATGGCTAAAGATATATGAAGAAAATTGGTGCAAAGCCTAAGAGAAAATTTTACCTCAAGTAAATAGAGTGGCATGGCTAAAGATATTTGAAGGAAATTAGTGATATGAATAATAATGCATGGACTAACTTTAAATCATAAATTTGGTTTTGAATTTTAGATGATGATAGATAATTTGGTATTGTATTAAAGATTGGAAATCAATTAAAACTTCATTTATTATATCTATATAGGGTGTATGGAAGAAGAGAATTATGGTAGAAATTGAAGACAGAATATTTTGAAAATTTAGAGCTTTAACATGTAAGTGAATAGAATTCTCTTTAATTTATTTTTATTTTCAATAGATTTTTACTAAAATATTTTACTCTTATGAATTACGTTAGTTTTGAAAATTATGGAATATTGATGATGGATAATTAGATGATGATATGTGCATTTATTTCCTCAAGATCATATTTCAAAGATTTATGAAATTATTTTGTTTATTAAACTCTAGAAATTCTTAGTTATTCTATTAACGCATGCTTGTACATTATTTATGGAATATTATTTTGGACAAGTACTAAATTAAAATTTGAAATGATTCATGCGAGTTGGGTATTGAAAATGTAAATTGTATTTTAGAAGTGATTATTTTTCTTGCATATTTAAAGCATGATTTTAAGAGGACTTTAAACAAAACACTGCTACTAATGGTAGTTTGTTAGCCTGTAGCACACTGTGGTTAAAAACTAGCTAGTTTGTGTCGTGGGCGTTGTTCTTATGTTTGTCATTCATGGCTTTGTACCCGCATTTGTTTTCGTGGCCATGAGCTGCATTTGGTTACTTATCCTTGTAGACTGTGTGTCCACGTTTGTTTCGTAACTTTAGCTGTGTTTGGTTACTTACCCTCGTGGACTGTGTATCCACGTTTGTTTTTATGACATAAGCCGTGTTTGATCATTTACCTTTGTAGACTATGTGTCCACATTTATTACTTGTTCTGTTGACTTCTCAAAATTCTAAATGTTTACTAATATGTGTTTTTGAGGTTTCCATGGTTTTGGTTAGCAAGTATATTACTTTGATTTATGTCTGAATAAATTGTTTTTTAAGCACGATAAAATAAATTGCTTCCAATTTACTTTCACTTTACAGTTATGATTATGATTTATAGACTTATAAGTTTATTATGTTGAATTATCATCTTTTCAATTAGTTTACACTAATATTTGAGTTTATTATTTTAATTTTTTTAAAATTTTATTTTGAGAATGCTATTCATTGAAAAAAAAATTTTGGTCTTGGATTTATTTTGAGAATGTTAATCCCACCATCGACCTTTAAAGGGCAATAACTATATTGTGTGGAATTTTTGTTTGGTTCTATTACTTTTTGATGTAAATATTTAAGTCTTATGTATCTTGATTTAGAGGAAAGATTAGTTGCTCCATATAGATTGTTGTTAAGACCTTATTGTGATCTATATACTATTTGCTAGTTGGAAGGAGCTAAGCTCCTAAATGGTACTGTATTTTGTAAAAATTTTTGTGTTGTAGAATTTTTGAGAGATCATATTTACAGGGGATGTTCTACTAAAATTTTTACAAAAATGTCGAGAGTTTGCTATGACAATTAATATTAAAAATGTTTAAAATTTTATATAATCTGATTATTTATTTTACAATGGAATGAATTTTTATTTTGATGCTTATAGGAATGTGTGAAGTGGTTCACACCCGTGTCGATCACTCTCTATTTTGGGGGCATGACAGTTTTGGTATCAGAACCAAGGTTTTTATATATGGTTATGTGGAGCAAGAACTTTTCAATGAGGTCTCAATTATTATTATGAATCCGAACATAATTATAATTGAGGCACCATTGGAAGTTCTATAGAAAAGTCTTCAAACATTGTTTGTTTCCTGTTATTGATTTCTTTTACTATATAGAATTGTATGTTGAAACTAAATATTTCTTTAATCTTCTTATATAGTTAAACATACCACCCAGATGTCTAGTATCTACTAGAAGCTCTACTAGTAGTAGGGCCTCTAGTAGAATTTCTTTGACAGATGAAGTGCCCTTGAGAGGTAGAGGACAGCATCAAACTAGGATCAGGATTAGGGGTGGCCAAACCCTTAGGCCCTTTCAAGATATTCCTTTTAAAGATGAACGA